CCAGCACCATACATGGTGGTCTCCTTGATAACATAGGGATTAGGCTCCAAAGTGTCAAAAATTGTGTCCTTTAGAATAGTTACTTCAGATAGAGTCAACAAGAGCAAGTACTTTCTTTTCAGCTATATCTACTTCAACTCTGAAGAGTTTGGCTGCTCCTAGTGATCTAACTGTACTGACTCCTGATACTACTCCTTCAGATTCATAAAAATCATCTTTGTTCTCATTAAAAGATACTTGTTGAGATGTTGGCTCTTTCTGTACTGACTGTCGACTTCCAGTATCTTGTACATATAGGTCTGGAAGTCTTTGACATAATGACCTTGCTTGTGACAATTAAAGCATTCATTATTATAATAACCACGTCTGGTATATCTCCTGTCACCCGAATTATTCCTCCGCCCACGACCTCGGCCATAATTACGTCTAGGCGAATAATTGGAAGATCTGTTGTCTTGGTTAAGTAACCTAGAGATGGTACTGGTTCCTTGTGTGGCTGATTGTTCTTGAACCAAACTGGTTACTGTTGACATCATTTTCTCTATATATTCCTCTATGCGGGAGAGACGATTGTCCATACTGGACTTGGTGCTACCTACACCAAGAACTACTGGTGAGTTACCTGGCTTCTCTGAACTAGACTCATTTGCTGGTTTACCAGGTTTTTGAATGGCACTGACTGCCTTCCTGGTGTGTTGACACCATCTTATCATGTCCAAGGTTGCATCCATAGACTTAGGTTTAGAGATACAGGCTTTTGTTCCAGCAACCGTATCATTGCAACCCTGGCAAAATCTCATGATTGCCTGTTCAGTCATCAGTTGTTCACTATACCTGCTATAGGCTCTAGTGGCGAGAGTCAACACTCTTTCCGACCACTCCTCCAAGGTCTCCTTTTCTCCTTGGGCACTTGTCTGGAACTGAACCTGTGAGGTTTCTGGCAGTTCTTGATGACCAAATCTCTTATTCATATTAGATATGATATTAGTAAAACTAGCTGTTTTGTTGTTTTCCAGTAGTAAGGTGTAATACTCACTGGCTGCATCATCTAGACACCAGCAGAGCTGTTCCCTTTTTTGTTCATCTGTCCACTCGGCAATTTTTGCATAACCAGAAAACATGGTATAAAAGGCTTTCCAGTTGCCTTTCCCACTATAACGGTGCGTTTTAGGAATTGAGGACAGAAATTGTCTTTTCTCAATCTTTTTGGTTTTCTTTGACTGACTCCTCGAATGTCGACTGTCTGTCTCAGATTCTGATTGCGACTCTCTAGCAGTAAGGCTTCTCCTCGAACTATGTCTACTATGTGCTGGAGAGGTCCTTGCACTTCTTATAGGTGAGAAGTCTCTGTGTGAATGATCACTGAGGTAAGCAGGTTCTGACCTACGTTTATTCCTGGTCTGGTGGTATGGTGAAGCATCAGACGTGTCCGAATCAGCTGTATAATAACGACCTGGATCACGCCTACGCTGTCTCTCCTGATAATCACTATCGTACTCCTTTCGTCTTGCCGACGGTTGGTTGTTATGTGCTGGTGGTGCTCCTGATGATTAAGGTTGCTGCTGTTGCATAGGTGATGTGTGTGACTCTGGCTGATAGTTACTTGCATCTGCAGGCCTTGAAAAGGTAGACTGACCCATGGCTGGGTACGTTACATTACACATGTTTTGCTGGTGAAAGGACTGTGTTGGTCCTTGTGGTGTTGGTCCACCCTAGGAGGTTGAAACATAGAAGTTGGATGACCAATCATTATAGGTGGTTGGGTCCTTGGTACAAAACTTGGTGGTTGGTACCCTGGTTGTTGATAAACGGGTTGTTGTTGATTCGGCTGCTGTTGAGGAAAGGAAACCGGCGCAGCAGATGGATTTTGTTGTTGTATAGGTTGTGCATAGTTGTTGACCCCTAGTTGAAGCTGGGCTAGCCGTTGGTGTAGGCCTTGTACCTGTTGTTGCAATTGCACACCTTTTTGAATTGGCAACATCGGTTGTTGAACCTTGTTGACTCTTGGCTGTTGGTTGGTGGAACCAATCTGATGTTGGGGTACATGTTGATGACTCGGTACATAAGTCTGAGATTGTACCGTTGGTTGTTGAACCCTGTTGACACCGCTTTGTATGTTGTTAATACTAAGTTGGTATTGATTAGTTGAAGGTAAGGCTGTTGGACATTTTCCCTGTGTACTTGATTGAAAATGATTGGATGAAATATCCTGTTGATGACGGTTGTAACCTTGTTGGAGGTATGATTCTGTATGCTGAGCACTCGGTGAGAAGTGAACATGATCAGAAGGTAACCTTTCCGGTTGATACTTGTTGAAGTCGTGTTGTTGACTTACATGGTGAATTGGTTGTTGATGTTCCCCCAATTTGTTGGAAATTGGTGGAGGGCTGTGAATACCAGATGTCTGATGTACATGCTTGTTGAATTCTGGTTGACGGTGGTAGTCATCATGTTGAATAGGCGGTGGGAATGGTTGAACACGTTCAACTGTTGGCGTGTCAGGTTTGTATATATCCCTATGTTGTTTTACAGGATTTTCACTTGTTGACGACCTGTGATATGCCGGTGAAGCCTGTTGAAGGTGGCTGGCTACCTGTTGATCTTGTTGACAGTAGATGTTGTCATGTTGAACACTTGGTGGAAAGTGGAGAACATGGTTACTTGGCATTTCATCAGTCGTCACAGGTAATATATCTTGTTGATGGCTTTTGTTGACTGGTTGAGGTCTGTTGATACCCTGTTGGTCTATTTGTTGAAAATTAGCCACAGGAAGTACTTGTTGATTCTCAACTAGCCTGATATCATGGCTATGTGTACTCAGGTCTAGAACTTGTTGTCGCTGTAGGCTGTCAGCAAAATGTTGTTGTTCTTGTTGGTGTTGAACAACCATATTGGTCCGAGGGGAATGTATCAGACTATCCCTATCCGACACATCACTGAGATGTCCCAGGTCACCAAGTAAACTTTCTATTTCCCCGGACACCTTCTCTTTTTCTGACTCAAGGACTGATTGCATTGCAATAGGTGAGATTGTTTGTCTTAAATCAGGCAATTCAATCGATTTCAGGTGTGGTTTGACCTTATAGGAACCTGTGTGTGTGGTGTCCCTCTTAGCATGGTGTTCTTCAATCCAATTACTGACCTTATTACCAAAATTGCACATCTCTGCAATCTTTTGCTTGTTCTCCTCATGTTGATGAGCAGGAATAGGCCTAAAATATGGTGAATCGCCATATGCCTCTGACATACCGATGGTGGGTCAGAACATTCTCTGCGCAAAGGCGCGTCTCTATCCTCATGTGTCTCCACACATAACGGGCTAAAAATAGGCGTCGACTGCCTGTTCTTGTCTACTACTGGAATACTGGGGTGCCCTGCACCAGCATTCTCCCTGGTTGGGCTAGATTCAAAATCAATCATTCCAAGGAGACCCTCAGTTACTCTCAGATAGGGGATTTGCTCTAACACCTCCCTATCAATGTGGATCCCCTTGTTCCTGATATTCATTATCCTGTTTCCTATGGCATTCCCTATGCCAGGCATACACTTCAGTACCACCTCAGGACAGGTGTTTATCTTTATAGTGTACCCTCTTCCTCTCTCCATAATGACTTATAATATTTAATTTATTTTACTTTATTTCAATATAAATTACAAAGCAATAATTAATATTCAATGTAATTAAAGCAACAATAAATCTTTATTCAAAATAAAAAAGTCAGTATAAAAATGTATACACCGTTATACAATATGCACAAAAACACTGTGTTTGTTTACATCCGTAATTAGGAATTTAAGATGACGCCCAAATCTCGCGGCAAAAACCTCGCGTGACCTCGCTATCAAACTATACAACTTTCAAAAAGTTTTCCCGGGCCCAAAAACTATTCAATTACGATGTAATTTTCCCTACTTTCACCCAGAAAGTACAACACGGGACCTGGTATGACTCTCTAGGACGAAATACCAATTCTCAGGGTTGACCGAAGGCACTCAAAATTTTGGAGTGATGCCCAAAATGGCGTCCAAGCCCCTGCAGGACCAAAATTTAAAACCACCCGCAACTACCAGTAAAGTGTTATTTGGCCTGTCTCGCTGGGCTCTACGGTTACCCAAGCGGAAAATACAAGCTATGCTTAGTGTAAGAGTGCCCTTACCTTCCTACTAGGTGTCAGTCCCAGCTAACCTCGTCAGGTCCCAGATATCAGGCGCCTTGCCTTGCTCGTTCCGCAGTAAAAGAGAGTTGCCCTCGAAGTAGAGTCTGGAAGTACCCAACTGTGACCCTTGTGTCATGTGTCCCTTCGGGTCCCTCGGTGCTGTACCAGTACCCTCGTGACAGGCTGGGGAAACCCCCTAGAACTACAGGGCAATTACACTACAGTAAATTGTATGCAAATTCAGGACGAGAACATGTTAATGTGATATCAATTTGAACCTTGCTTTGGACTAGACCAACATGCTGAGCTTGCTAGTTCACAGGTAACATATCTCAGGAAGACATGACACCTTACCCAGAATCATTATTCTAACTCCAACAAGTCTCTTCTCTACTCCGTAGTGTCGTATGGATAGCGGAGAAGAAACAAATACCAATTTAAGAGTCTTTAGATCGATCCGGATCGGGGTCAAACCTATGACCACACACACGCAAGGCAAGCACGCTACCACGAGACCACCAAGTGGGTTCCAACAATTAGCCACTGAATACAAAATTTATATTACTGGTACATATTCTCAGGCTCAGTTAATATAATGCAAAGGCCATTATTCTGATTAATTATTAATTATAACTATAATGGATTATTACGTTAATCAACTGGAAAATGTTTTATGTCTGTCTCATTGTTTTTTCTGTCTCTTGTTAATATACAAAAATAACATACGAAGTGTGAGATCCTTAGGTTTGAAATTCATGTCTAATGTTTGATATGTACAATAAGTTACTGATTTGGTTGTCTTTTTGTAGCTGTTCTTATTGTCAAGTTTTATATATATTTTAGGTATACTACCGCGAGAAATGATCATATATACTGTTGGTGGTGGATCGTTTGTCATTGTGGTTACCATTTGTACAATGTGCCTGTGTTATAAAGAGAGCATTAAAGATCGTTGTATGATGTATAATGTTGGTAACCATAGTGACAATCGAAACCAACAAGATGAACATTACTATGACAGAGTTGACGAGGATAACATGCGTAATACTCCCATGGTATTGAGAAATGTCAACAGAATTTCAAAGTCCTCTTCAGAATCTGACAATATAGTTGACCTGGAAGATGGTTATCTTGAACCACACCAGCCGGTAGTCCGTGATGACGGTTACATTGAACCGAATCAACCAGTTGTCCGTGAATATAATGACACAAATGTTATTAATGTGATGTATGAACAAAGAGAAAGATTTTCCGAAAGTGGCAGTAATACTTCACACAAAAGTGAGGAATATTTGAATCCTTATCAACCAGTAATCGAAAATTTAAATACTCATGAATATGAAACAAGACATCATCATAGAAATTCCTTTGATTCTTTGGCAGAAAATGATATTGGCTATGAAACATGAAATAAATCTGTAAATCATATGTATTAGCAAATTTGTGAATAAAGGTAAACAAAGAATGAGCTACACGACAAAATCTTGATAACAATTAGTGATGTGTCTGCTTTAAAGAAAATAATTTTTCCATAATTCTTCCCGCCATATATTAAATTAAAACCCAAGATAGAAAATACTTAAATGGCTTTAAATATGTAATAAATGAAAAGAAAAGGAAAATCACCTTTAACCGAGTCTGAAGACAACTGCATGTTTTTAGATATTTGACAAAACGGTGGTCATATTTATTTTTTTAAGTGCATCAAAATTAACATTGTTATGAAGTCATATCATCTTATCAATGTTGAATTGCAATTAAACTGACCTAAAAAGGAATAAAAAGATTTGAGATATACACAAATGATCCAGCATCCCAATAACAGAAATAATAAAATAAAACAACAAAAATGGTGTCCATACAATATGTTAAGTTCTAAATCATCCCAAGTCTATGTAAAAGTTGTGAATAAATTTAACAAATACAATCAAAGATCTGTAAGTAACACCCAATTTTCTATATAATATGAGAACCATTAAGATATATGATATCACTACTACTGACAAGGGTCCTGACTTCATTTTCTATATTGTGTTTTTTTGTATGCTGTTTTTCATTTTTTGACATGGCATTGTAATTTGTTTTCGACTTATGAGTTTGCATATCTCTACGGTATCTTTCGCCTCTCTTTAAGATCAATCGACCAACTCTACTCCCAAGTTACTGAGCTTTTGAATATTGTTTTTACATAAACCCAGATAAACTAAAGACATCTCCTCAGAGTTTGTGGCAACTGACCCAAAACAAAATTTTGAAATAAAGTATAACATCTTCTTATTTCTAATTATGGGTTATTTTGTTTACTCTTTTATGAATTTTCATACTTCACATGGAATATCTCATGTTCCATTATAATCATTTCTCTCCATAAATCGATTCTGAAAGACGTACCTATGCATTGCAGTAGTCCAGACACATGAATTTTCTGGTGGTTTCGACCAATCTATTTCTCAGCTTGTGTGCATTTCAGCAGATGTATTTCAGTTCTTGAATTAAGACACACTATTCAGAAAAATAAATAAATGTAATAGGTATGGATTATTTCCCTTTCGTTACTAAATTAGTTCGTGCTGCTCAGTCTTTCATTTTCTTTGTTGTCAGTTCAGTTTCGACTGAGTTTGAATGTCCCTTTGTTATCTTTCGCCTCTCTTTTATTTCAGGCTGTTAATTTATTTGCTTGATATCATTTTATTTACATTTGCTTTATTTAATCAAGCACTCATAATTATATAAAGCAAGGCTGATATTTAAGTTTCTATATTTATTTGACATTTCTATCATATTTTGTAATGTTATTCATTTTGGGTTTTCTTACCATTTTGAAGGAACTTAAATAGAATATTAAGTCCACAAGACATGCAAGAGTTAAATAAAAGTTCCTTACAACTGTTTGCCTAATGTTATCCAACCCGCGACCTCTTACACTAGAAGCGAACACGCTGCCACGAGACCACTGAGGTTGTTGTAAGTACATTTGTACAAAGAAATGAAGATATTGCAAGCAAAATGTTCTTCCTAAGAATAATTTGATGTTTGGAATACGTCAATAATACAGAACCCAAGGACAAAAATAACCAAAAGATGTCGGTTTGATTTGTACTTATTATATCATTTTTTTAATTCTAAACACCTTAACAAATACCATTATATTGTGATCATTCATGCAAAATCAAAGAGTTTCATTATTGAGATGGAATGGACTGTTAACTACAGTTCCAAATAATAAAATGGATAAAAAATATATTTAACTTTTGGCAGATATCGACCAGTTCAAATCAATTTAGTGATGATCAATAGCAAAATTATGAAAAAGAAAATAGATTGAAAATGATCTCATATGAAGTCATGATTTTCATATGAATAAACGAAGTTTTAATATTAAGCTGGTAAAAAATATATATTCTTTATGTCCCATTATTAAGAAATGAATTTAATATTGATATTAATGGTGTTTCAACATTTAAAATCAATGCAACGCCTTGCCATACGAATTGTATTAACACATGCTTCGTGAGATTAAACATCAAATAGATTTAATAGACACTTAAACGAATTCATCGTTAATCTAACTTCGAGGAAAAAAGTAATAAAGGTCACATTTACGGTTTGAAATTTCCAGTCAGTGAATGTATGGTCTACTTCACCTAAACTCAGTAATTTCTAATACTGGGACATCTTGATGTCCAAACTTTCAATACAACTAATAGATTTTATTTTTCTAGATTTCATTTGTCTGCTTCTATTAAACATCCACCTGATTTTTAACTGAAAGGAATCAGAAAATACCAAAGATAGAACCAACCCATATGAGAGGAAGACAAACCGATAAAAACATTACATAAAGTATATAATAACGTGGAAAATACAATAAATAGTCTTCAAAACACCTCTTTAAAAAAAAACTTAAGACTGAGCAACACAAAACAAACGAAAAAGCGGGGTTATATCAGGTTCTCCGGAAGGCTAGGCATACCGGCCTAAATGTGGCATCGGTCCTGTTGCTTATGGTGAGTATAAAGTTGGTGCTGGTGTCACAATTGAGATGACGGGAAAATGTGTAGTAGACATCAATATTGGATTGTTTTTCTTTAAATAGATTCGGAAAATGCGCTGCAAATCGCATTTACTATTATTCCTATAAATAATCAAATATGCAAGAATATTTTTTGTTATTAAATATAATGTTTATGTTCATGATATAAAGGATTATAACGTACAATGACGGATATTGAACACATGAAGCTTTGCCTGAAAATATTTATTTAGTTTTGCGTTTAGAAATCCCTAATACAGCTATAAAAGAAGACAACACATAAGTACAAAGGTATCAATCTAAAGTAATATCGTAATTTTCGATGTTCCTGAAAGCAAGCTCAATGTACTTGATAAAGTTGAAGCTACTGTAACAGTAAGTTTGTACGGAAATGAGACAGAACACATTAAGTAAGGTGAAAGAGAGGCAAAAGATACTAAAGGGACATTCAAACTCATAAGTAGAAAATAAACTGACAACGCCATGGCTAAAAATGTAAAAGACCAACAGACAAACAATAGTACACAAAACACAACATAGAAACCTAAAGACTGAGCAACACGAACCCCACCAAAAACTGGTGGTGATCTCATGTTCCCCGGAAGGGTAAGCAGATCCTGCTCCACATGTGGCACCCGTCGTGTTGCTTGTGTTAGTACAAACCCTATAATAAGTCTAGTTCGGTAGGTCTCATTCGGGGAAAAGGGACGGGATTGAAGTTAAGACAGTCGGAACATATCTGCTGTCATCTGTGAAACGGATTTTCTATAATGGTCAACCAACTCGTGATGGCGTCCGTAAAATTTACGAAGTGATGATCTCATTTTCACCACCTGGAACTCTTGGTTTAATAGCTTTCTTGTCAGCAGCAACTCTCTATCAAGGAAATCATGATAGGAAATACAAGCCCTGGAATGTCGTATCAACTGAGAGATATATACTCCGTATGCAGGCGCTGTAAATTGTTGGACTGTTGCTACATCAAAATGGAAAGTTCACAATTTATCTCTTTTGTGGTAAAGTTTTGTTTTCAAACGACCCTCGTTGTCAATTTCTAGATGTAAGTCAAGATATGAGGCAGACTTACTGTACTGTTACACCACTGTCCCAGGTTAGGGGAGGGTTGGCGCGCTTAAAAACTAGTTTAACCCCACCACATTCTGTATGTGCCTGCCCCAAGTCAAGAGCCTGTAATTCAGTGGTTGTGGTGTGTTGCTGTATATCATATTTGTTTTTCGTTCATTATTTTGTACATAAATCAGGCCGTTAGTTTTCTCGTTTGAATTGTTTTACATTTGTCATTTCGGAGCCTTTTATAGCTGACTATGTGGTATGGGTTTCACTCATTGTTGAAGGCCGTACGGTGACCTATTGTTGTTAATTTCTGTGTCATTTGGTCTCTTGTTGAGATTTGTCTCATTGGCATTCATACCACATCTTCTTATTCTTACATCAATTGTATCTGTTGTATCCTTTATCTCAAGTTCGATGGGATAGATGCGTTCAACATAGTCACCAAATTTTGAATTATTTAGTGAGAGAACATCATATACTGCTAACTTCTTTGAAATAAGCTACGATCATGTAGAAATTTTACTGACAGAGTTTCAGCGTAACTTGAAAAAAATTGGATCTACTATGAGTGTCTCTGATGTATAAACGTCGTATGTTTTATAAAAAAATCCTCGCTTAATTAAGTCAAAGAAAATATATATGAGGGTGGTAAAGGGTTATTTTCGTGCAACGTGTTTTGCCATTTTTATTTCACGTGCAGCGTTCTTCCGTGCAGATACCCCCCCCCCCCCCCTCTCCCCTTTACGCCCCTCATATATATATTTGGTATAATTTAGGTTCGAGATACCACAATTACTTTTAGAAGACCTCGATAATCTCCCTTTAATCAATGGAAAAACCCACCGAAACTTAAATAGGAAACTAAATCTGATTATCATCAATACTGAAAATGTTGAAAGGGTTAAAAAAGCAGAGAGTGTAAGTAGCATCAGTTAGAGCTAACTTTATATGTTATACTTTAAATTTACTGTTAATCGAGAGTTGTTCATTTATTCTCGACATGTACAATATATCATTATTTCAGAATTTTCTATATCCGAACTTTAACAAATGATAGGAACAATTATATAATTATACACCTTTCTTTTTATATAATTGTTTAAGTGTATTATTTTAACCTAAATCTACCATTTGAAACATGGCAACGACGATAAAAAGCGTCTCACTTTTTCGATCTCAAATTTATAAAATCGGAGAACAATGATGAGAAAAATATGTCCAAAGTTTTGGTACGTTTTCTTATTCATTTTTTTTCAATTCTAATTTATCAATTTACAACACTAGTTCTTCATTTCTTATATCTTTCACAGTTAGAGGTTTC